CTCCAACCTTGATGACCGGCAGTCCTGCAGGAGAAGCTCGCGCTCTTCCTCACAGAGCTAAACACACCTGTTCAGGTGTAGGAGGAGCCAGGGAAGGAGCTCACAGGCGACAACTTGTGGGAGCCACAAAATCACCTGTCCTGAACATCCGCGCATAAGAAGACAATAATGGCTTCTGTCTCCCTTCCACCCTGTAATTTCAGGCAAAAACATCGGGGACACATCCTAATCAGGAACATCCAAGGAAGGGAATTCCAAGAAATGAAATCCAGCCTGACCCGCCTGACTCATTACAAAGCCACCACACAACCCATCGCCGCGTCCTGTTCTACCTCCAAAATAGATCTCCGATCTGCCTTCTCTCGACCTCCACCTCCACCTTTCTGCCACCATCACTTGCTTGGATGCCGGGAGTAGCCTCCTGACTGAAGGTCCTGCTTTCAGTCTCGCCCTGCAGAGGGGTCTTTTCCAACATCGATCACTAAGCTATCTCTTGCATAACACCATTGAATGCCTTCCCTTGGCCAAAAGGTGCTGCATGAGCCTGGCTCCCATCCACTTTTTTTTTTTTTTCCATCCACCTTTTTTAACCAACTCCACTTATTCCCTTCACTCAGCTTCCTTTCTGCATCTGGAACACGACAATTTCTTTCCCACCTCAGGACCTTAACATTTGCTTTTCTCTCTGCCTGGAGTCATCTTCCCTGGGCTCTTCATTTGTTAGCTCTCTTCCAAGAACTCTACTCTGAGGACGACATCAGAAACAGCCCCCACCCTCATGCCAGCCACTCACTTTGTCACATCCCTCTATTGTCTCCCTGGAGCCACTTATCACCGTGCACAGCTCTCAAATAGCCTTTTCTCAGTTTCCTCCACTCAAAATTGAGCTCCATGAATGTAGGCACCTCAATATGTCAACATTATTAATATTACATCTTAGATATCGAGCTAGCCCTGTGCTTGCTAGTGAATGCTTATTCAATATAGTTGATGCTTAGGAAATATTCACCGAAGAATGAGTGAAGGAATGAAGGAATGAATGGAAAAATAAAGGGCAACTCATCTCTCCTTGCCACCCTACCCCACCCCCACCGTGCTCTTTCATATCATTCCGTCTCATAACACCTGTTGCTGTCTGATGTGATCATGTTTGCTAGCTTTCCCAGTATTCTCGGTGGCCCAGATAATGTCAGCTGCAGCGAGAGCTGGCCTGTCAGGTGTGTCCATTGCTGGAGGCCAGCACACCTGCAGCTATGCCCAACACCCACAACCGCCCAGAGCGCACTTGCTGAGTGAAGGCTGAACTGTAGCGTGTGGGCCTGATCTGTGCAGGGGCATGGAAACAGGAGATCGAATCTAGTTGGGGAAGGGCGGGGGGAAGAGCTGGCAGGACTGTGGTTTGAATGGGGTAGAGTTATAAGGACGGGTGTAGGTTCAAGAATGGCTTCTGGGTTTCTTGCACAGGCAGAGGGAGAGGTGATGGGATCACTCACTAACACAGAAGGGAAGTCGATGGGGGCAGGGGGAATGGGGAGATGGATTTAGACCCAAAGGTGTCCGCTGGGTTTGTAATTGGAGGGTAACTGCTGCAGGGGCGACAGGGCAGATACGGCGCAATCCTTGAGTTGGAGACACTGACAAAATGATCATACGTGACGTTGCGAGATTCACGGGTTACAGGAGCGTTACATATAATCCCAAAGGCTTAGTGAAAGAAAATGTCATGTCGTGTTTAGAGAGATGTGGAAAACTCAATGGATGAGTCAGGGTTTGAGATGGGTTTTCACTGGAAGGGAGCGAAGGGAGGATCGGAGAGGACAGATATCCCTCACAGAGAGGACAACGTGAAGCAGGCCACAGAGGCAAGAAGGCAGACAGCACATCCGGAACACTTTAAGTAGAAAACAGGTGAGTAGTGAGAAGTACAGCATGAAGGGTGCTGGGGCCACAGTGGACTGCGAACATCACAATGAGGAGTTTCTAGAGTAGACACTGGGGAAACGCTGAAGCTTCTCGATAGGAAGTGTGACCTCAGGGTGGATCTCCTAGTGACGTGTAGGATGGGATGGATAAAATGAGATTCCACTGAAAAGGCGGTCATCCTAATGCAGGTGAGGCTCAGGGAAGGTCTGATGGGCAGAGGGGGAGCATAGGAAATGAAAGAAGTATTGTCCAGGCAACACAAATGGTCGGATTCATGGACAAAAGATGAAGTTTCAAATACAGCTGCAAGACTCTGATGCTGTATGAGAAGGATGATGGTGTTAAGAAATCATTCATTTATTCAACAAATATTTATTAAAAGCCTGTGATGAGCCAGGCACTGTGGAGGTGGCTGGGATACACCTCTGCGGAACTGAGAGCCTGTGTCTTCACGGAGCTGACCTTCAGGCGTTCATTCTGGGTCAGGGAATGGAAGTTTGAGGACTATCTACTTTTAGGAAAAGGAGGACGAAGCACAGCAGACAAGGGAGAAGGAGTCAAAGGGCAGAATATCGCAGGATAGAATATCATGGAACCAGGGAGCAGAGTCATGAAGAGGAGGCTATCAAGGGGGCAAGGTTACCCAGTGATGACTGATGATAACAGGGAACGGCCATTCCCACTGTGGTTTCCTAATCTTAACCTTTAGCTTCCTCCCGCTGGTCCTCTGCCTCTGGTTCTTCCTCTAGGAACACTCCCTGAATAGTGCAGCCACACTCATCTCCCTAAAATGTTCCAAGTACAGGGGCACCTGGCTGGCTCCGTTGTACAGCACGTGACTCTTGATCTCGGGCTTGTGAGCTCAAGCCCCACGTTGTGTTTCGAGATTACTTTAAAACACTAAAATCTCAAGAAAAAAGAAAAAGTTCCAAGTACAAATCCCTTAGGATTTACTTTGACACCCGCTTTGCCATTTTATCTATCACTATTGCTGTTCTCAATCTCTCAGACCTTCCTGCTGATGTAAAAACGGTGTTCTCCCTGTCTTCTTCGTTGATTCCTGGATGGAAGCTGGATAAGAGAAAGAAGACGCCAGAAGTAGAGCCTGAACAGGCTGTTGAAATAGTCCACACTGAAGATCTCCAAGGGGACGAGAGGGAAATTTTGAGGTTTTTACGTACTCCTGGGTATGCTACTTAGACTTGGTACAGACAAAATAAACACTGAGGATGTCATAAAGGTTTACGGTTATGTGAAACATTTTTCCATGAAAGAGCGTGGCAAACTTGAAGCCCTACAGTTTCCAATGTGCAGGTAACTTGGAAATTAGCCATGCCAAAAGATTAGTTTGGATTGTGAAAAGCAGTCAATATAAGCTCTTAAAACGTGAACGCACGCGTGGCCGGCGGACCAAACTGACCCACGCACCCCTGAACAGATGGCATCTCCAACGTAGCCCTCCCACCACGACTCCAGAACTCTGCGGGCAAAAGACTACATTGCCCATAAGGCGCCGCGCGGCGGGCCGGCGCTCTCGCGGGGCGTCCTGGGAAGCGTAGTCCGCGCGTTGCATAAATCCCTCACGCTCCGGGCCGCGAGACAGCGGCCCACGCAAGCATGGCTGTGCCCGGTTGGGGCGCGTACGTTTGTTTCGACCGTGGGTCTGGGCCGGCTCGTGGGGCTGGGCTTTAGGCAGTAAGTGAGGCTGGCGGCCGGGGTTCCCGGCGTGGGGACGTGGGAGGCGCACGGACCCTGTGGGTGGCACACCTGAGGACGGCGAGGCGAGGGGCTGCCCGGGCGGCCTCGGGACGCGGCGCCCTCCTGGCGTGGCGTCAGCGGTGCGCGGCCGCGGGGACCCCTGTCTCTTTGCGCCCCTGGGCTCCGTGGTGGCGTGCAGGGCCTGAGGGCCTGGCCTCGGGCCCCGGCGTCGGGGAGACCGGAATCCAGACCACGAATTCGAGGCCGGACGTTCAAGTTCCATTTTTTTGTGCTTTTTTTTTTTTTTTTTTTTTTTTTTTTCTTCTTCTGAGGAACGGGTTGAAAAGGAATATATTGCATTTCAGCGCTTCCTGTCCCTTAGCAACTGTGCTAGGCGCTTTGTATTTCTCATCTCCAAGTGACCCTCCTCCACTCTCGAGGTGAGACCTTGAGCGGGTCCTGTAGGTTCCCAGACCTAATGTTGGCATCACTGGATACGTGTTGGGGGGGCCTTTAGGCTCGTTGGTTTTAATGGCAGTTTTTTCTCCCAGTGAACCTCCTTCCCGCCCTCTGGCTTTGGGACCATGTCCTAAACTGCCGTAGAGATGAATTTGTTCCATTTAATTCCTTCGAGTGGCATAACTTGGTACAAGGAGTGTGAGAAGCTGAGATTTCAGGAGGTGGTTGAACGTCCCCAGGCCCTTATTAACTCGCAAGAGTCTAGGATTGGCTTTGCCACCCCAGCAGTAGATAAGGGTTAATGAAGGGTTTTCTTTCTTTTTTTCACTAGGGATTCCAGTATGCCTTTTTACTTTTTTTATATACATGTTTTTGTTTATTTAGAGAGAGAGACAACAAAACGTGAGTGGGGGAGGGGTGGAATCTCCAGCGGGCTCCAGGCTGATCGCTCAGGGAAGAACCGACCTGGGGCTGGATCTCACGACTGTGAGATCATGACCTGAGGCGCAATCAAGAGTCGGACACTGAACTGACTGAGCCACCCAGGTGTCCCTCAATATGCCTCTTTTAAAACAGCTATTATTTATTGCGAGCCAAACCCTGTGCACCAAGTGCCTTTCTTAAATTCTCTCAATTGGTTTAAAGGACCTTGAGTGATAGGTGGTATCCCATTGTATATCTAAAGAACACAGGTTAGGTAAGTTGCCTGCCGAAACACAGGCAGGGTGTCGTAGCAAGGATGAGAAAATCCAGGTCTTGCAGTCTCCAAAACCCCAAACTACTGGATAAATTTTGTAAGGAACGATTTAAAAGAGACATTCCCAAGCATAAGATAGGGAGATGTATGGAAAATGTGTTTTAAAAATAAAAGCATTCGTGTAACCTGTCTTTTTTTTTTTTTTTTTTTTTTTTTTTTTTTAAGGGTAGTATTTAGTGTCACGATGTTTGGGGATCTGTTTGAAGAAGATTATTCCAGTGTGTCAAATTATCAGTATGGAAACGAGAAGAAATTAAAGACCAAGGTTTTGGAGCCACCGGCTCCTAGAGAATTCACCAATTTAAGCGGAATTAGAAATCAGGGTGGAACCTGTTACCTCAATTCCCTTCTTCAGACTCTTCATTTCACACCCGAATTCAGAGGTATGCTGTGTTACATGCATTTGATTAGTCAGTAATATGCACCCTTGTCTCTACTTGTAGTCAATTGTGCAAAATTACAAAAGTATCTTAAAGTTGTATTCCACAGCATGGGTGTATTACTGCTGCTGAAAGACGTAAATTGGTAATTCTCTCTGTAGAGAAATGTGAAGCTTACGTTATCTTAAATATATTCTCTGTGATCACGGTAGTTTTTAGTAACAAAAATAAGGCGATGAATTGCTTTTCTGATTCCTATAATTTAAAATACCACATAAAGACAATTTTCTCGTGAGTGCCAGCCTTCATTATTGTTATGCTATTTGTATTTTTAAAATTAAAAAAAATTTTAATTTCACTAAAGTAATAAACACTCAAGTTATGTAAAACAATTAAATCCTGCCTTTTGGAGCAAGGACGGGATGTCCCATTATTTATACAGTCCACAAACGTTTATCTGCAATTCTGAAATCCAGAACATTCCAATAACCTGGTCTGAACTTGTTTAGCCTCAGAACCCAACCACATGTGAGGCTGTTTATAGTCTTAGCTGTCTCACTTGGGTGGATATTCATACATTTATTCCAGGAATGTGAACTCCTTAATTAATGGATACTGTTTATCCCAGATCCTGCCGGGGATGTAATGTTAACATATATAATGCTTTTTTCTTACTACCTTTCTCAAAGCTGGAAATTCCAAAGACCCAAGATGTTAGACAAGGGACTATGTGCAAGGAACAGAAACACACTCAATTAGGTCAATTAAAAGGGGAGTTTAGGGGCGCCTGGGTGGCGCAGTCGGTTAAGCGTCCGACTTCAGCCAGGTCACGATCTCGCGGTCCGTGAGTTCGAGCCCCGCGTCAGGCTCTGGGCTGATGGCTCAGAGCCTGGAGCCTGTTTCCGATTCTGTGTCTCCCTCTCTCTCTGCCCCTCCCCTGTTCATGCTCTGTCTCTCTCTGTCCCAAAAATAAATAAACGTTGAAAAAAAAATTAAAAAAAAGGGGGGGGTTTACTACAAGAATATAAGGGAATCTCCTTGAAACCACTTACAGGGAGCCAGCCTGACCTCACTGGACCCTTGATTTCTTGCCACTGTATTTCTCTTTATGTTTGTACCATTCCCATCTCTGCAAACTAGCTTCCTCCACAAGGGTCTTAGTCTCTTGGTTTCAATATGAACATTACCTTCACGTGGCCCCTACTGGGGCCTTGAACCACACAGCTGAGCATGACTGTGCCTCAGCTCTCCACAGTGTCTCCTCATGCTGAGGACAGACAACCTGGCTCATCCTGTATCCAGTATCTCATCCCCCCACTTCCCATCAGTACCGAATTTAGCAAAATTTTTTGACATTTTCTGTTGCTTCTTAGCTTGGAAAGACTTCCTGCCTCCAGAGATTTAGTAAATATTTACCATCATCCCCTTCCCAGGGCCATTCTAATGGATGAAACTGCATGTGGGATTTCAGAGTGGAGCCATTTGTCCTCGACTCCATCTTCTTCGTAAACATATCTCCCTAATGTATGCAGTTATTCCACCATTAGAGATTTTCAGCATAAATTTCAGCAGATTCCTAGGAGATTAAAAGTCTCTCAAACTTTAATACAGTTGCAGTAGAAAAGTAGCCTTGAAAAGAGACTGAGGAAGGTGATTGGTGGGCAGGCAATCCAGGTCATAGAGAGGGCACCTGAGCAAAGATAGGGCTGAATGGAGATGGCCACTGAGCAAGAGCCCAGGCCATCTTATTCTCAGCAAAGGAGGTCACTGGCCAAGCACATATCTTGGTGTGGACTGTGCATTCCTTATACGGCTTAGCATGGATCCTGATGCCTACTGAAGAGGAGATACAGTTTTAGAAGGGGTAGGAATTGGCAGAGTACTGAGGGGAGAATAATTTTGGAACCTTCTGGCACAGTATCTTGAGTAGGGCTGGATTGGTTTCCGCTGTACTGGTTCAGGGTGACGGAGAGTAGTGGGAAATGATCGTAAAAGTCCTTGTATGGTTTTATGCTTTAACCTTTAGGTTTGTAGCTCATTTCTTCCCATTTCCTGCCTGGAGCTCAGAAGGAATGTAGCATTCGTAATAGTGATCACCTGGGCAGCAGTGGTCTGCAGAGGGAAACCATACCCATCCCATCCATTCTCTACCTGGAGTAGATCAAAGTGTCCTAGTAGGGGTTCCCATGTGGTTTGAATGTAGACTTCCCATAAGATTCAGATATGCCCCATTGAGCGACATGCCTAGACTTGGGAGTATAAAACAGTTGTGGAGACTAGCACTCCAGGTAAGGTCACTACCATCTGTTACTACCCTTAACACAGAAAAGACATCGTTATACTAAAAATGAAGGGTGTGATCTCAGAGATCAAGGTGGTCTTTCTCTTCAAAGATGGTTGAAAGCCTCACATGTGGCTTGTAAATGAACATGTGATACTTTTATATATTGTATGTTTCCTCATGTGGCTTTTGGGACCCACTGCCACAGGCAATAGAAAACCCTCAAAGATTTCTGATATTACTGTTTGTACTTTCATAAGCATCGTTTTCCTTGTGTAGATCTTCCCTAATGAAACCTTAGCATGTCACTTTATAGAGTCAGTGGTTAAAAGTAATGTTATCAGGAAATAAAATGTATGGAGTCACAGTATAAACATTGCCACAATCATACTTCAGAATCTCTAACTGATTTTATTTACTGGAGGCTTTGGCTTTCTAAAACAGTTTTCTAAAATGAAATAATGACGTTTCTCTATCACTGATTCTACCTTTTTGTTTAGAAGCCTTATTTTCCCTTGGCCCAGAAGAGCTTGGTTCATTCGAGAATAAGGATAAACCTGACGCAAAGGTATTAAATCTGTGATTTACAGGTGTTTTTGTGGGTTTTTTTTTTTTTTGGAGTATTGAGGAAATTTTTTTTTTAATGTTTATATTTATTTTTGGGACAGAGACAGAGCATGAGCAGGGGGAGGGGCAGAGAGAGAGGGAGACATAGAATCCAAAGCAGGCTCCAGGCTCTGAGCTGTCAGTACAGAGCCTGACGCAGGGCTCGAACTCGTCAACCATGAGATCACGACCTGAGCCAAAGTCGGAGGCTCAACCGACTGAGCCACCCAGGCACCCCTGAGGAAATGTTTTTCTGAGTAAGGAATTAAGTTCTTTGCTCATAGAAATCCATAATTTTATTAATTACTGAATATTAATCTTTATTTTCAGAAAAGTGATTTGGCTCATACACCGTACTGGTAAGGGAATCTTCCTCCCTAAAAAGAATTATTTCTCCAAATATAGTGCTGGAGCGGCTTTACAGACACAACCTGATCAAGAAGATATTCGCAAATGACCCATACTAGCCTACCAAAAAATCTACCTAATACATATGTAACAACAACAAAACTTAGACACTGGTGCTGTTTTAATTTAGTAGTCTGGAAATAAACCACGTGAGGAATTGGTTTATTAAAAGTGCATTTCTAATCGTGTCCCTCCTTGCCTAAACACCATTCAGAAGTTTATTGCTTTCAGGCTAACATCTGCACTTCGTAATAGTAGTCTTCTGTGATCCAGCCCAGTTCTTCTGAGACCACTTGTGTTGCGAAGAGGCAGTTTTTACCTATTTCCTTTTCTTCCCCATCTCCTGCACGTCATACTTTGTAACATGTAATAAAAATGTGGCGGCAATGATGTCAGATTGCCATAAAGGTGTCTAAAGTAAGTGAAGTCTTACTCTCACTTTAGATACTTAAGTCCAGTCTGCCCACGAGGCTCTGAGCAACATTCTCTGCCTGCCCTAACCCGCCCCACACCAGATAAAGCAGGAAGCAGGTGAGGTGGGTGCAGCCAGCCCTGTGAGGTGTCCGGACTCCAGAGTGAGTGAAAATCGTGACTGGAAAATTCCTCCTGGGGAGTGTGTCTCTGAGAGATTTTAGAGAGGGAGTGAACTAGTAGAGACTGAAACTGCTGTCAGTAATCGGGTGGTTTCTTAGAACTATTTGGGTGTTAGTAATGATCGTGTACCGTGTCGAGGTAGAAAACTCCAGATAGCTAAAGCTTTTTGGATTGAATTAGAATCTTAATAAAAAAGTGAATCTTAGTTCACCCCGTGTAATAGTTATAAACTTCCTCCTGGTTGAAGTGAATGGACTAGGAGAAAGGAGAAAACTGGTTTGCAGTTCCTTTAAAGCTCCCTGCCCCCAACGACACTGAAAGGACCTCATTTAGGGGCGCCTGGGTGGCGCAGTCGGTTAAGCGTCCGACTTCAGCCAGGTCACGATCTCACGGTCCGTGAGTTCGAGCCCCGCATCGGGCTCTGGGCTGATGGCTCGGAGCCTGGAGCCTGTTTCCGATTCTGTGTCTCCCTCTCTCTCTGCCCCTCCCCCATTCATGCTCTGTCTCTCTCTGTCCCAAAAATAAATAAAAAACGTTGAAAAAAAAATTAAAAAAAAAAAAAGGACCTCATTTAGAGATGCAGACCTCATTTGCTTCTCTTTCAGGTTCGAATCATCCCTTTACAGTTACAGCGGATGTTTGCTCAGCTTCTGCTCTTAGACCAGGATGCAGCGTCCACCACGGACCTCACTGACAGCTTCGGGTGGACCAGCGATGAGGTACGAAGGTCAGCTTCTCCAAGGAACAGAGTTATCAGCAATAAAGAGTAAATGTTGGTTTAATAACAGTATCTGACTTCCTTTCATTTTGTCTTAGGGTCTCAAGAAATAGATGAAATATTTGCTTTTCACGTTCAATAATTACAAGCCAGAAATCTATTTCTAGACACTTGCTCTATGCGAGATTTTATGAATGGGTGTGATTTGGCTTCGGAGAGAGGGTTGTGGACACAGGCAGAGGACACAGGGAGACTTGTACAGTCCCTGTCCTTTATATAGTCTAGTTGAGATCATGGTGTCTATTACATGGAAATTCTCATTTATGTAACATAACAAATTGCTAACCAGCTTAAAAAGTGGCCGACAACAATTCTGTCTGCCTTGATGGCATGCCTTTGTGTTTGAATCTGGGTATTCTCATTGGAACATTTGCTTCAAGGAAAATGGTGAAAACATTCTTAGCTGGTCTTTTCATTTTTCTGTCCTGCTTCCCTCCTGACTCCTCATTTTCTTCCCATATCCTACTGTGTGTGCATGTTCTCTCGTTTTCTGTTGGAGTCTAAAGGGTACTTCACTACATGCAAACACTAAACATGTCAGCAGCGAGTAAAGGTGCTTGTTGTCGATATTGATGAGCTGTGATTTTTTTAACGGAGTAGATGTATTCTTACAAGAGACAGCTGTGGGAGACTATTGCAGAATTTAAAGAGGCAATGACCAGAAAAATGTAACATTGCCTTCAAAAATAAACTTCGAACTGTGGTCTTCTAATGACGAGCAACTCCTAAACCAGATGATGCTGTGAGGTTGAAGAGGTACGGCTTGGGTTTTGAAGTGAAGTGGGGTATTACACAGTTAAGTCTCTGGGTTAGAGCAGGCGCTTAGGGTCAAGTCCTTCTTCTTTCCTTGTTTTAAAAATGACAGCTTTGCGGGACGCCCGGGTGGCTCAGTCAGTTAAGTGTCCTACTCTTGGTTTTGGCTCAGGTCATGATCTCTCAGTTCGCGAGTTCGAGCCTCACATCGGGCTCTGTGCTGACAGTTGCAGACCCTGCTTGGGACTTCTCTCCCTCTCTCTCTGCCCTCTCCCGCTTATGCTTGCTCTCTCTCAAAATAAATGAATAAACTTAAAAAAATAAAAATTATAAAAACATTTAAAAATGACCACTTCGTTGAGCTATAATTCACATGCCATAAAATTCACTCATAAGGGTACAAGTCAGCAGCTGTTCAGTATGTTCACAGACTTGTACAACCATCACTGCAGTCAGCTTTAGAACGTTTTCACCACCCCAAAAAGAAACCCCATACCCATTAGCAGACACTCTCCCCCCAGACCCTGGCAACCACTCATCTACTTTCTACCCTTATGGATTTGCCTGTTCTAGACATTTCACAGAAAGGGAGTCATACAATATGTGATCCTTTGTAACTAGCTTCTTTCACTTAGATCATGTCTTCAGTTTCGTTTGTGTTGTTCACATCAGCACTTCATCCATTTTTATTGCCAAGTAATATTGTACAAGAGGGATATGCCACGCTATGTTTCAGTCTAGTCATCTGCTGATGGATTTTCCTTTTAGATCATGAGCTGCCACTGAGTTGCTGATTTCATACTCTTAAAGCAGTGAAAACCTTATTATTTATTACTTTCTAAATAAAACCTCTCAGGAAACCCTCTAGGACTGGTAGAGAGGGACTCTGAGGCACCTTTTGCAGCCTCAGAATTATTCAGAAACAGAGCCTGCAAACTTCCACACGGTCCCTTCAGAGCCAGTGATACTGGAGAAATTTACATGCTCTAGTATCTCAAAAACTCAAGAAAAAAGATCCTGAAGCCCACGTCTTACTCCAGCTTTCATCCACTTTATCAGCTTCTTTTCACTCCCTCATGGTCTCTACTTCTGCACCTTTCATTTGTCCCTCTACCTCCTTTCTACCTTCTTGTCCAAGTCACTCATGACATCCACGGGCCAAGTTCCAGGAGACACTTCTCTGTTCTGAGCAGGCTCTCGAGAGCACTCCCTGCCCCCTCTCCCCCCTTAAAGCACCAGCTTCTGCTGCTTCCTGTGACTCTCCCCCGGCCCCGGCTCTTCCTCCTCTGCTCCACTTCTGAGTGTTGGCGTCCCCTTGGCTCTGGATTATCACTTGTGCTTAAGGCGCTCGGTGTGTTCACACGCAGCTGCATGACCCCTGGTGGAGTGAAGCAAGTTGCTTCAGAATTTTTCTCAGCGCTGTGTTAGTTGGTCTGCATGTGCAAACAGTAAATTCTGGTTCTTTTCAAATGCTGGTAATTCGGATCCCCTGATGTAAGGGAGATTTCGCTGTGCATATGCTGCCGGCTCTTAGACACTGCTCTGTGCCTGCTGTGTTCTCCCTCCTCTCCTGTGGTGTGGCCGTGTGTGTGGTTTCCCACAAGAATGAAAGCACTTTCCTGTTTTCAAGTGAGTTGAGTTATATGTACACACTGAACACACCTGTTCATGTTTTCATTTTGTAGTGAAAGTAAAAACTGATGATCTCTTCACCTGCTCTCCGTTTGCTTAGCCCAGTCATCCTTGTATTTGATCAAGGCTTAACTTCGGATTTCTAGATAAATCTTATGTTTTGTAACTAATACCACTTTAAAAATCTGTTTTTAAAAACCTGAAGCACAAAATCACATTTAAAAGTTACCTGTTTTATAGGAAATGAGGCAGCATGATGTGCAAGAACTGAATCGAATTCTCTTTAGTGCTTTGGAAACTTCTTTAGTCGGGACCTCCGGCCATGACCTCATCAATCGTCTGTATCACGGGACCATTGTTAACCAGGTTGTTTGTAAAGAATGTAAGAATGTCAGTGAAAAGCAGGTGAATATATATACAAGAGTGTTTTAGTAATAAGTTATATCATAAATTATAATTCACATAGTTAAATCTGTGATCTGTAATACCACATGAGGATTAAAGCGTTTGTTACTAGAAATAACTTTATCAGTTATTTTCTTTTACTCCAACTACACCTAAATCCTGAGTTTATGATTCAGATTTCTTCATATAAACTAAAAGAAGCAAATATCTTAAAACGTAGCTTTAATCTTTTCTTCAGTACTCTAATCTTTAGAAAATAGATTTGGGGAATGTTTATAGGTAGAGATCTGTGGCCTCATGAGCAGACCCAATTTCATGGTTGGTTGGAGTATTGTAACAAAAGTTAATTAAGGAAGTGATAGAAATAGAGAATACTAAAGAATGTTTACATTGACAAACACCTATAATTAAATATTGGATTTAGTTTATTAATGTCCTTTAGAAAATTCATTTGTATGTGTGAGCTTATGTTGTCCATTTAATCTACTTGAAAATTAGATATTGGAAATTTGCTCCTGTAAATATAATGTCTCTGCTTGCTTTATAAATCTTATGCAGCACATAATTGCCTCACTGAACAGTTGTCCCTTAATAGCCTCTTTTTATTATGGCAAGAGTTCTAGAAAATTGCTGTATTTGACTGTATGAGTAAAATATTAAATGCCATTTTTTTTTTATTTTTTTTTTCAACGTTTATTCATTTTTGGGACAGAGAGAGACAGAGCATGAACGGGGGAGGGGCAGAGAGAGAGGGAGACACAGAATCGGAAACAGGCTCCAGGCTCTGAGCCATCAGCCCAGAGCCTGACGCGGGGCTCAAACTCCCGGACCGCGAGATCGTGACCCGGCTGAAGTCGGACGCTTAACCGACTGCGCCACCCAGGCGCACCTTAAATGCCATTTTCTAAATGTTGCATTAATTGCTTCTTTGGATATATGTATATATTCTTTTCCTTTTTTTTTAATGAAAGAGTTGGGGTAAAAAAAAACTTTTTGGTCCTTTTTGCCTGTGCTGATAGAGGATTTGGTCAGCTTAATTTGGAAATATTAAGACGTTGTGTGTCTTTGGATTACCATATGATTGACTTAACTACACTGTAATAATTCACAAAATAATCTTAAGAATAATGTACATGAAGGCACCTAATAAGTTATAGACATCAACTTTTCATAGGTACATATTATAAACTACATATAAATGTTGCTTCTATTCCTTTAGATTTCCACCATGAGCTAGTTAGTACTGTCATTTTACAGTCCTATAATCCCTTAGGGCAATGCTGTTACACCCACAGAACTATGTATGATTGAAACTGATCAGATTTCACGTGTTTAGAAGTTATAAGTAAGTTGCAATTGAAATGCAGTTACAGCAGACTTGACAGACTGCTGTTTGCAAAATACTGTCCTCGTTTCAGAAAAAATACCTTTTTATGCTGGCTCAAAATAATTAATTTTCTTACAACTCCCGTAAACCAGCCCTAGCAGAAGATGAAGAAGCGGGGTTTACATTAGAGGGTCCAGCCCTGCCTGTGCCATTCTAGCCTAGAGACGAGACAGAACTCGTAAGCACTGAACACATACGCTTCTCAGTCCAGATGTGTGTTCAGTGGCTTATTTCCAACTAAAGTAAGTTTCACTGTAGCTGCCGGGAACTTACAGACTAGTTCGTGACATATTTTAGGCCAAATTACAATTTGATTTAGGGTAATATTGTGTGATGAATTTCACAGTATCCAATCAGGCCATCTGTCCCCTCATACTACGTACAGTGTTTTAGGGAAAAGTTATCTCATATTCCCAACATATGTAGGAGTTGGTGATATGTTTGTGAACCACTGTGAAATTGTTTTCTTTCAATATGACATTCATGTGTGTTTCAGGAAGACTTCTTAGATCTCACAGTAGCAGTCAAAAACGTATCAGGTTTGGAAGATGCACTCTGGAACATGTATGTAGAAGAGGAAGTTTTTGACTATGACAACCTGTACCACTGTGGGACTTGTGACAGGCTGGTTAAAGCAGCCAAGGTAAAGACAGACACCTGCCTTCTCTTGGGCGCCCCCTCCGCACTCGGCAGCACCAAGGTTTGTCAAGTGAAGCCAACTTGTGTGAGACAGTCTGGAGGATACACAGGAAGCCCCTAATTGCAACCGAGGAGTGAAAACACCTTTCCATTCCACAGATCTGTATTTAATTTTTTACAGTAAAGCATTTTTTTTAAGTTTTCAACCCAACAGTTCTCACAACTTCTTTCCCTCCCAAGAAAAATATATCTGTACCTCAGCATTTCTTAAAAACACCTTTTTTTTTTTTTTTTTTTTTTTTTTTTTTAAATAGACTGCCCATATCCTTGCTTTTGGCAAAGTCCCACTAGGAAGAAGGTGGTGTGTTTTTGTTTCTGCCAAAAAGCTCATTGCGCTTTTCTTTCTTTGCCTCCTGCTGTGACAACAGACGGCCTCATTTCCTGCACATGCGGTTATTTTACGATATTGACAGATAACACCTCCCTGACTCTAGCAAATCGAATAAGCCCTTTCCTCCTCCCACAGAGGAGGGAAATACTCAGCCAGAGTGCTTCCTTTCTCACTGTGGGGATGACAGGAGGGCTAAGCCGTAGTGACTAAGCCACTGCTGCCAGATGATGCCATAGGCTGCCCGGTCAGTGGTTACTGAGCACTGGCTTCAGGAGCCACCACCGCAGATGGGTCTTTGCAGGTATTCTGTCCATCCCTAGAGCTGACAGTTACTAAATTTTCCAACAAAATGAGGACTGATTTCGATAACATAATACTGATTTAGCTCCTGGAGGTTGTAGGTGAGAATGTAAAAAACAAATAAAAAACGAAAAACAAACCATGCCTGTAGCTTTTCACAATAGGATTTGAAACCAGTGTGAATGTAACATTCTTTAGTATGCATTTCCATCCAGCCTTTGCCTTTTTGTGACACACGGAGAGGTTCATTGTTTTGCTTATTTATTTGGTATTTCACCTTTGGTATCACAACTACAGTCTAGTAAAATAAATATAAAATTCAGAGGATGAAAGGTCTCGGAAAGATACGTAAACACGTTCTTTGTTTTGGTTGAACTTAATTAGCACATTAGTAAAACAAGAACCCTGAGCTCAACAAAAGCGGTTCTTGTATGTCAGTGGTATGTCATTGGTTTAATTTTTTTTCAATGGAAATTTTTTGATCTTGATATTTTTTAAATTGCATCTTAAATTTCAGTTTGGTCGTGCTACCTAAATTAATGTAGATTTCCTTATTCTGAGCACACTTTTCTCAGCCTTGTTGTAATGAGATACTCGGGTTTTTTAGGTGTATTTTTTTTTTTTAACTTCTTGGAAAATCTGCCATGTCATGTTGCCATTTTCTCACTTAACTTTTTTTTAACCCCCAATTTGTGGAATTGTCTTAAATATATTTTTAAGAACGTTAGATATTTGTATGTAAGGATGATAATACCATTAACGATGATTTAACAGATGAGAAGGTTTTTTTGCCACCCCCTAGCCAGCATACCATTAGAGCTAAGACACTGGGGGGAAGCTGATGACTTTTAAATAAAAAGCAGCTTCATTTAGTGCTTTGTCTTAAAACAAGGAAACAAAAATATTTTTTTATCTGCTTTAAAGGGCATTCGTTATAAAACCCCAATCATTGGGTCCTTTGTCCTGGGCAAAGGAGGAAGGTGAAATGCCAGGGCTCATGCAGGGAGGGAGCACTGTTAGAGTGGGGAGCACCAGTTACAACATGTTTGTTGGACAGCTTTGATTTTGGGATATCCGCGCTAAAAACATGAACTCGGGTTGTAACTTTTTAGTTGTAAACATAAGTAAGTGATAAATCACCTTTGGTCCCATGAAATTGATGAGTTCATGTCAGCTGAATTGAATCCAAGGTGATGAATTTATGTGATTTAAGGACATTATTTCTCTTAAAACTGCATCATGGGTTGCCTTTTCAGATCTTAAGATATCTTACATATTCTTTTCTATAACTCTGCTTTCTAAAAAACTGTAAAACTTTTTCTTTTAACAGTCGGCCAAATTACGTAAGCTGCCTCCCTTTCTTACTGTTTCATTGTTAAGATTTAATTTTGATTTTGTGAAGCATGAACGATACAAGGAAACTAGCTGTTACACGTTCCCTCTCCGGATCAATCTCAAGCCTTTTTGTGAACAGGTTTGAACTCTTTTATTTTGAAATTTTTTCTTTTACCCTGTCAGGATTTAATCTTTATCGGCCTGGTTTTCAGTTGACTTACTGCAGAATCTTTCCACCTGGCTCTGTTAACATTTTGAGTTGGGTCATTCTTTGTTGTGAGGTCTATGTCCCATGCATTGTAGGATTTTAAGCCGCATCCCTGGCCTCTACCCACTAGATGACAGTAGCATCCCACCCTCCCACCCCACCCCTAGTAGTGACAAAAATGTCTTCAGACCTTGCCAAATGTCCTTGTCTCCTGGGGGGAGGGGGGTTGGTAAAATCAGCCCCAGCTGAGAACCACTGGTTTATTACAGTCCTTTTGAATTTCTGAAGTATGGTTTGTTCTCAGTTCTTTTTATTAAACTCTCCTTGGAAGATCTTTGAAAGGAAAATTTAAGAACAAAATTAGAAATGACCCTACAGGGGCGCCTGGGTGGCGCAGTCGGTTAAGCGTCCGACTTCAGCCAGGTCACGATCTCGCGCTCCGTGAGTTCGAGCCCCGCGTCAGGCTCTGGGCTGATGGCTCAGAGCCTGGAGCCTGTTTCCGATTCTGTGTCTCCCTCTCTCTCTGACCCTCCCCCGTTCATGCTCTGTCTCTCTCTGTCCCAAAAATAAATAAACGTTGAAAAAAAAAAAAAAAGAAATGACCCTACATTAGGAGAGATTACCATTAATTTGTACTTTGCTATTTGGATTTAGTTTACATGAGATGCAGTAATGAATTACACATGTAGAAAGTGAACAGGTAATGGGAACTTCGCTAGAGTTGATAATCCTTGAGACACGTAATTTGAAAACAAATTATTACAAGCAACCTACTTTATAAGCCATTTTAAACTATTGTCTATATAATCACTATACATGCCAACATCAGAGCCACGAGACTGCTGTGTTTCTTATTTACAAACCATTATTTATATGTTCATTAAGACCAGGACATTTATTAATTAACTACTGAATTTCTGCGTATAAAAGTAATATTTCATTTATTCTTAAATTCAGATGGGCCTTCCTCTACTTCAAGCCTAATTTCTGAGCTTTTTGGGTTTTATTTTATTGGGACATACGGAATGAACAGTTTTTCCAGCATAAGTTAATATACTTGTCCCCCTCCATTTACTGCCTGAATAAAACAGGATAATTGAGTTAATTCTTTTTTTATTTTCCAGTTTTACTGAGAAATAATTGATAGACATCACTCTGTAAGTTGAAGGTGTATAGCATGATAAGTTTTGATTTACGTATATTGCGAAATGATGGCCACCACAGGTTTAGTTAACAGCCACTGTCTCCTATAGAAAAACTTTAGGCCCTTTTTAAAAAAGTAGTTTGTCACTGGGGCGCCTGGGTGGCGCAGTCGGTTAAGCGTCCGACTTCAGCCAGGTCACGATCTCGCGGTCCGGGAGTTCGAGCCCCGCGTCGGGCTCTGGGCTGATGGCTCGGAGCCTGGAGCCTGTTTCCGATTCTGTGTCTCCCTCTCTCTCTGCCCCTCCCCCGTTCATGCTCTGTCTCTCTCTGTCCCAAAAATAAATAAACGTTGGAAAAAAAAAAAAATAAAAAAAAATAAAAAAGTAGTTTGTCACATTATTTTAACATACTTTGAAATAACAGAAGTGAAATAGGTAAAACATTGAGCACTTAGCTAGGAAATTGACCATAATTTTACTTTTCGATTTCTATATTAATGAAAAAAATTATCACTTTGCATCTGTTTGTATCTCTCATCTTTTGCCTGAACCAGAAATACTAGTTACTTTCCAAGTAAATAAGTTTCTCAGATAATTGGCACCTTTCAAGTAAACTATCAATGTTTATGCTTTTTTCTCTTATAGAGTGAATTGGATGACTTGGAGTATGTTTATGACCTCTTTTCGGTTATTATCCACCAAGGTGGTTGCTATGGAGGACATTATCACGTGTATGTTAAAGATGTTGATCATTTGGGAAACTGGCAATTTCAAGTAAGCATAGAAATTAGAAGTATCTTTGCACTTTTTCCCTTTTTTGGTCTTACTGTTTTGGTGAAAATGACCTTTTGCCATTTATTATATGTATTTACCCTAGAAAATTTTTATAGGGAAGCAAAGTTAATAGTAAGAACTTTTAAATTTTTATTTCTAAAACGTTTCATACAGAAGAAAAACTAGCATAGTACAAACACTTTCTATATACTCTTCACCTGGATTCTTTAATTGTTAACAATTCACCAAATTTGGGGCACCCGACTGGCTCAGTCGGAAGCGCACGTGGCTCTTGATCTCAAGATCCCCACATTGAGGGTAGAAATTACTTAAAGAGGGACGCCTGGGTGGCTCAGTCGGTTGAGCGTCTGACTGAAGCTTAGGTCATGATCTCACAGTTTCTGAGTTCGAGCCCCGCATCGGGCTCTGTGCTGACAGCTTGGAGCCTGGATCCTGCTTCAAATTCTGTGTCTCCCTCTCTCTCTCTGCCCCTCCCTCACTCGTGCTCTGTCTCTCTCTGCCTCTCAGAAATAAAACTAATTAAAAGAAAGAAAGAAATTACTTAAACTTTAAAAAACAACAATGGAGCACTTGGGTGGCTCAGTCGGTTAACCTGACTCCTGATTTCAGCTCAGGACACGATCTCGCAGTTCGTGAGATCAAGCCATGCGTCGGGGTCTGCGCTGACTGTGGAACTTGCTTGAGATTCTCTGTCTCCCTCTCTCTCTCTGCCCTTCCTCCCTCCCCGCCGCTCCCCATCTGGCCTTTCTCTCTCCCTCTTTTTCAAAAATAAACAAACATTTTAAAAACAACAGCAATTTGCCAAATTTGTGCAAACATGCAGCTAACATCTTAGGAGTGCTGAACCATTTGAAATTAAGCTGAAGACATTCGGCCCCTTTACTCCTAAATACTTGAGTATTTATCTCCTGAGAACAAGGATGTTCCCTTACACAAGCATAGATCACAATCAGAAACTTTAACATTGAAACATTTCTACTCTCTAATAAAGAGTTTATATTCAGATTCTACGAGTTGTCTCTTCCAGATCCTTTACAGCATTTCTTCCCCACTCTAGTGTCGAGTGCAGGTCCCACGTTATACTTAGTAAGCACATCTCTTAAGTCTCCTTTAATTGGTAACTGTTCCTCGGCTTCTCTGTCTTCCGTGGCACCAACCAAAGATGATAAGGATTTTCTTCTTGTATTGTCTTCTGAAAGTTTTATAGTTTTGCCTTATATATTTAAAACTTCTCAGTCTTGTGGCGCTTGGGTGGCTCAGTCAGTTAAGCATCGACTTCGGCTCAGCTCATGATCTCACAGTTCGTGAGTTTGAGCCCCGCATCAGGCTCTGTGCTGACAGCTCAGAGCCTGGACCCTGCTTTGGATTCTGTGTCTCCCTCTCTTTCTGCCCCTCCCTGCTCACGCTCTGTCTCTCTCTCTCTCTCAAAAATAAACATTAAAAAACTTAAATAAAACTTCTCAGTCTTCCCAGAATGGTTTCCTGTGAATGGTGTGTGACTTTTCTCCCCATTTAGGTATCTGGTTGCCCATTCCCATTTATTGAATAATCCATTCTTTCCCCACCAATCCCTAGTGCCAGTTTTGTTCTGTCAGTTATTTGCATATGAGTCCATTTGGGCATCTATTGTGTTCATAGCTCTTTCTTCTATTGGTAGGCAGATACCACGTTGTTAATTTCTGTAGCATTATCATTAAGTCGTGATCCAGGCAAGTCTCCCTGTATGTTGTTATTCTTCAGGAGTATTGTTACTGTTTTGGCCTTTTACTCTTCTGCAGACATTCCTAGAACCAGCTTGTCAGTATTCTCACACACGTACACACCTTCTCAGAAGTGGTAGAGTTTTGAATCTAGATATGTAAACCAGATAGATGTTTTCATATTTTAGAGCTTCTTATAAAAAAGCTTTGTAATTTTCTTAAGATGTTCTGAAGGAAAGCACTAACTGAAGTCTTAGTTCCAATTAATTGCAGTGGGAAAAGTCGTAAGATGTAACACACCAACCCCAGTCTCTTGGCCAGCTTTCTAACGTGTAACTAGAACACAGTGAAATGTCAATATGTAAGTTACAAGCCATCACGGTAGGAATAGGATGCTTACGACAGCTTCCTGACGATCAGACAATTGGGGTTGTTCGTGAATAGTTGGCCACACGCAGTAGTATCGCTTCTCTTGGTGCCGGCAGTGTTGCAGATGCACGTTCTACCTGTTGGTGTTTGCTTCCCAGAGCACCTGTCTGCATTTCTGATGCTCTGTCAGTTGTACTTGGATATTAAAAAGCATTTGGATGTTTAAAAAGTCAAGCTGTTCCACCAAGAAGATGTTCTGTGGGGCTGTGGCCGTGCTTTGTATTTCTTGGACTATTGTGGCTAGCGTACGAAACGCAATTACCATTAGTTTATTGATTTTTACAACCAACCATCTCGCTAAACGCCTCTTATATTGCAGACATGTTTGGAGAAGGACTGGTTTGTGTCCCCCTTTCCAGTCTGTTACCTTCCATTTTGTTCTGGGCCGAGAGCGCCACGGAAGCATCACTCTCGGGTGCTTGTGCCACGTCTGCCAAGACGTTAGGTGTTGGGCACATTCCCAGTCAGGTGAAGGGAAGTTCTTCCGCCCTCATCTGCTCTGATTCAGCCCTCAGTGTGTCTGTACTTAGTTTGCGCTGGTTCTTATCGTACTGCCTTCTTCATGCTGCTGTCTTTAGTGTCCGGGGTCCCGTAGCAGAGACCTCTGGTTCTCTAAGCAGCCGTTCTCCCTCCACCCTGTTCAGACAATTAAATTAGCTCAGTTCCCTTCTCTCTAAAAGATGATGGTGAAGGTTTTTCTTAGTTTCTGATACAAGCTTGAGGACAGATCCAATAAATACCGGTTGTTCATTTATTTTTTTTCTCTTTGCCTTGCCCGCCGTGGTCTTGACTTCTTTTTTCCAGCTCTGCCCTCGTCTGTGTAACCTTGTTTTCCAGTGTTGCCCTGTCTCTTCAGTCCGAGAGAGCACTCCCACTTTCTGCACCGGTCAGATGCCAGGGCAGGGAGCGTGTCTCCGCTCCCCTCAATACCCACAGCAGATTTTCTTCAGCCGCTGTCTGATTTCCGGCACTTTTATAGTTGATGAGATTTATCATCAGTCTTTGTTCTTTTGCAGTTTCATTTTCAGGTTTATCGTGGAGGTCACACACAGAGGTGGACTCCTGCAGTGCTGAGGTAGTGTGTCTCAAGCATTGATTCTGTCTTCCGTGTCTTCGTTTTGGGTTGTGCTTCCCTGGATATCCCTGCCCTTTTGTGTTCATTTCCTCAGAGTTAATTAGCTCTTTTCTAGCATCATTGGGCTCTTCTCCTGGTTCTGTTATGTGACTGGGGAAGAGAGACAGGCATTCTTTCGTTTGGTTTTGCTCTCTGCACTGCCTCTCTATGCTTGACGCTTTGTGACTTTAGCAAGGTCTTTCTTGGGGCTTAAAGAACAATCAGAATGCTTCCCTTTGTGCTTGGTATATTTTACTATTCATGCCTTCTATGAAGCATCCCGTTTGTTAAATTTTTTCCTTTGTTCTTTCAGAATCACTAGTTTTTTCATCCAGAGCTTTGTGATGTTCAAATAATGATTAATGCTTTAAAAATTTCAACCTCAATACGTACATCTGCACACTGCTTATCTTTGTATTGCTATTATGCTGAGAGATTGCTTGTGCCTAGAGACATAGGATTCCAAATATTCTAATCATAGCTACATGTCCTTTCTGCTTATAGTTTGGCAATTTCTTCTTCCTTTCAAGGAGCCGTTCTCTGCGTTCATGGAGTTCTTTAGTAGCTGCTGTCTGCAAAGGAATAACTTTCATGACCAATCTGACATAATTTTCATGAGTTTAAAGTCAGCTTTCCAGGGGTGCCTGCCTGGCTCAGTTGGTAGAGCATGGGACTCTTGATCTTAGGGTTGTAAGTTCAAGCCCCACGTTGGGGGTAGAGTTTACTTTAAAAAACAATAATTATGTATTATATGATATAGTATAATAAAGGCAACATTTTAGTCTCCTAGTGTATCTAGAAGATGATCCCTTTTCTTCTAGTATGGAGGCCATTAACTGCAAAGTGTGACTCTAGATCTGGTTGTAAAAAGGAGCCTGATCTTTGCTTTCTGCTTCCTTTTTTTTTCCCCCCTGTTTATTTTGAGAGAGAGGAGGGGAAGGTTAGAGACAGAGAATCCTAAGCAGGCTCTGTGCTGGTAGCGCTGAGCCCAACATAGGACTCAAACCCACAACCCGTGAGATAATGACCTGAGCCAAAATCAAAAGTCAAATGCTTAACTGACTGAGCCACCCAGGTGCCCCTGCTTTTTGCTTCCGGAGAGACCTTTTGCTTCATTGATGGTTGTTGACATCACTTTGAATATTACCTTGCACATTTGAAGAAAGGGGTCAGAGAAGCCTTCACAACAACTCCCAGTAGGCAGCCCAGGGCTAGTTCCTACTGTCCGGACAAGGCCAAGGTTGGACACTGGCAGAGTGGAGGAGGACTGGGCCTAGCCTGTCGGTTACCCACACCAGCGAGACACGTAGGGGCAGTGCTGGCCTGCCTTTCCTCTTCTACCATTTTTAAACCTCTTATTCTTTAGTCATGTCTTTAAACATATTATTTTATTCTAATAATTGCAGTATCTGAAGACTTTGTAGGTCTGCTTGGATATCTACTGCTTCTATTTCCTTGGGATTTTGTTATTTTAGACTGTAGTCTTGCTTGATTGGTGGTTTTTTTAAGAACATGATTTACTGGAGTAATTCATGAGCTAGGTTGAAAGTGCCTTCCTCTGAGAAAGATAAGTTTTTGTCTCTACCACATGCCTAGGGTCCCTTCCAACCCTTAACTTTGACCTAGTGGTTTTGGAGCCATACCATGTGGGCCACAAACCCAAGTGGGGACTTGTGATTATAAATTTAGAGGAGGTGTTTTTCTGCCTTCATCTAGTATCAAAGTAAAAGCAAGTTTCTCATTGTTTTTTATTGTGGGGTGGATTTTTCTAGGCCATGTTTATACCGAGAGGGTGGCTCTTTTCAGGTTTCTAGCATTTTGCTGAAGTCTGTCTATGTGGTATAATTAAAATATACATATTTATATTCTGTCTTTGCCCCAGGTTCCTGGAATAGAGCTTGAAATTTCCTGAGTGTAGGCTTGTCTTTTGTTATTCATAATGAACCCCTTTCAACCACATCCGAGTTCATGCTAATGGGGTGACTCTTGGTGGGAACCTAGATACCTTCGAAATGAGGGCTGATCAGCAGCAGAACCAACCACATGCTTAGAGGGTTGGTGTTTTTAGCCCCAGTCCCTGACCTGGGGAGGGGCTGGTGATTGAACTCAGTCCCATCGGTAATGCCTGCATACTGAAACTTTGATTAAAATTCTGAAGCAAGGAGACTAAGGGAGCTTGTGGGCTGGTGAACACATCCATGTGCAGGGAGGGTGCCCACCCCAACTCTACAGGGACAGAGGTTCCTGCTGTACTCAGGACCCTTCCTGACCTCACCCTGTCCACAGGGTGTACAAGTTCCTGAGTTCTGTGAGCTATTCCAGGAAATTCTCAAACCTGAAGTGGGGGTTGTAGGAACCCTAGAATTTGTAATCAGCCAGGCAAAAGCACAGGTGGCCTGGACCCTGCTCAGGACCCCATTTGTGGCTGTTGTCTGAAGTGGGGACAGTCCTGTGGGACTGAGTAAAGTTAGTATCAGAACTGGATTGAATTGTAGGACACCCAGATGGTGTCAGAGAACTGCAAAACTGGTTGTTTGGAAAACCAGTCATTCAACTCCATACTTTTGGAGGTCTTGAGGCTTTGCCTCCCAAACCATGTCCTGTATGAGCATCAAAGTGGCAGCTGCATCAGCCAGGTTGGATGGCTGGAGGCCTCAGCTCTGGATTTCCTCCCTGGATTCCCATTTCACTTTTTCCCTCAGGATTTCCCTGATACTCTCTTGCCAATTCAGTGTGTGTTTTAAAAAGATGCCTTTGCTTTTTATTGTTGAGTTTACTTTATCCAGCATTTTTAGTAATTGGTAAAGATGATTATACTTAATGTACCATATTGTTTTACTCTTTCTGTATTTTGGTCTTGTGTTAATTGTTTAGGTCTATTTGTATTTATGGTTTTAAGTCAAATTAAAATGCTTTTGCAAGATGGCATGTACCAAAAATCCAATAAAAAAAAAATACCTTATTTTGATATGTTCCCAAATAACTTCATAGAATGGGGTGAAAACTTAACACGACTGGGAAATAGAAGGGAGCCTGAAGCTGAGCTTGCTAGTGATTCACACACAACCTGTCAAGATTTGTAGGGTGCAGCTGGGGTAGTGCTTACTGGGAGAATGTCAGAACCTGCCGAGTGTGTGTTGTGCTGGAGGCTTATCTCATAATTCCATTTGCAGATAATGATCGAGAGATTAAGTAGTTTATTCAGGATTATTCAACCAGAACTGGAATTCAGAGCCAGGTCTGCCTGATTCCAAAGTATATATAAGTTATTGCGATGCTGTTACTATCCCTTCTCCCTCTTGAAACTTCCGTGGCACAAACATTTCTCTTTTGTTAATTACCTTTTAAGGGAGTAATGATAGAAACCTTTTTATTGTTTTCCTTTCTAGGAGGAAAAAAGTAAACCAGATCTCCAGAATAAAGAGGAGATTGACGATGATCCATTGATAATTCTAAAAGCAATCTTACTACAGGTAGAGTTTATATTTTCGTGTGTGTGTATTACAGACATGCACATAGGTACATGAAATTTCATTGATAGAACTGATTCTGGTACTGTTGACAGTCTTTTTCCTTTGGGACATTCTCTGTGTCTATTTTTATAATTTTTTTATTGGAGACTTTCTGGTTATAAAAAATTCATATTTGTGGTAGAAAATTTGAGAGAAAAAATACTAGGAAATATATCAAGATAATAAAAATATAAATCAAATATCCAGTTATTGTTAATACTTTGATGTATATTTTTTACATTCTGCTTTTTGTCTGTGTTTATGCATATATATATTGGGATTGGGTTATGGGGTTTTTTGGTACTACTGTCCTTTTGAATGGAATTGGGATTCACTTTACATATTGTTTTGGAATTTGCTATTTTCCCACGTTATCCTTCCTAATGCCTGTAATACCTGAAGTTATGTCCTCTTTCATTCCTAATATTGATACACTGATAATACCTCAAGTATGTGACTTTTAACGTTTGCGTAGTGCTGTGTTGTAAAGGTGGTAGGTCTCCTTTTACGTATTTATTCATTCCTGTGAACAATTTTTCTTAATTCTTTACCACGGACCTAGTCTGAGTCCTTTAACTGCATTGGTCTGTGGCCACTGTATTAGTTTGCTAGAGCTGCCGTAACAGAATACCACAGATTGGGTGGCTTAAACAACAGAAATTTATTTTCTCACAGCTCTGGAGGCTGGAAGTCCAAGATCAAGGTGCCGGCAGGTTTGTTTCCTCCCGAGGCCTCTCTTCTTGGCTTGCAGATGGCTGCCTTCTTGCTGTGTCTTCACATGGCCTTTCCTCTGTGCATGTGCATCCCCAGTGTCTCTGTGTGTCCATTATTTCTCCTTCTTATAAGGACACCAGTCAGATTGGACTAGGACGCACCCTAATGACCTCATTTTTAACTTAATCACTTCTTTAAAGGTCCTGTCCAAATATAGTCATAGTTGAAATCTTGAAGGTTCAGGAGTCAATGTATGAATGTGGGGGGGTGGGGAGGGGGTACATTTCAGCCCCAAACAGTCACTTCCTATTCCCTTTTAGAACTGGTTTATATCTGGAAACATTCAGAAAACATATTGATAATCCTTTTTTGCGCTTAAATATCTCTTGTAAACATCCCATAAAATATCAGGAATTTACCAAACCTCAGAATACTCTTTGGATATTGGCTCCTTAAATGTTTGAACTTTGGCACAGGAAAGCACAATTCAGGTTTTCTAAACTGAGGCTTAATCTACTTGTAAAAAACTTTTTTTATTTTGAAGTAGTTACGGTTAATCCACTTCCATGTTCAGCTGTCATAGGCACATTTAATTAGATATAATCCTATTGGCCCCTTTGAACTTGTAAATGTTACATTTACATCTCAGATTTTCCTAAATGATCTTGTGTTTCTTTCACAAGGAGGAGAGTAATCTGATTCCTGTTGATCACCTGGGCCAGAAACTCTTGAAAAAGATAGGAATATCTTGGAACAAGAAGTACAGAAAACAGTACGGACCACTGCGAAAGGTAATACATGACATCTGTATAGGAGGTCCCATCCCGGGAAATTTTACTATGATCGCTTTGCAAAGGAAATTTGAATTAGGTGAAAATAAAATCACTTTTTTTATTTAATGGTTAAAATTCAGTTAAGTTGCTTATTAAGTTATCAAATCAAATAATTTATAGAATCAAGAAGTAAGCAGAAAAAGAAGGGCTTTTAATACAACAGCATCATCACAAGTGCCCTCCTTAATGCCCATCACCCATTTAGCCCATCCCCCACACAACACAACACCCCCTCCAGCAACCCTCAGTTTGTTCTCTGTAGGTAAGATTCTCATGGTTTGCCTCTTTCTCTGTTTTCATCTTATTTTATTTTTCCTTTCCTTTCCCTATGTTCATCTGTTTTGTTTTCTTAAATTCCACGTATGAGTGAAATCATACAATATTTGTCTTTCTCTGAGTGACTTATTTCACTTAGCCTAATATACTTCAGTTCCATCCACGTCGTTGCACATGACAAGATTTCATTCTTTTTGATGGCTCAGTAGTATTGCTCTGTGTGCGTGTGTGCGTGTGTGTGTGTGTGTGTGTGTGTGTGTGTGTGTGTGTGTGTTTACACCACATCTTTTTTATCCATTGATCAGTCAGTTGACATTTGGGCTCTTTCTGCAGTTTGGCTTTTGTTGATAGTAGTGCTATAAACATTGGGGTGCACGTGCCCCTTTGATTCAGTATTTTTCTTATCCTTTGGATAAATACCTAGTAATGCAATTGCTGGGTCATAGGTTAGTTCTATTTATAATTTTTTGAGGAACCTCCATACTGTTTTCCAGAGTGGCTGCACCAGTTTGCATTCCCACTGACAGTGTAGGAGGGTTCCCCTTTCTCTGCATCTTTGCTGATGTCTGTTGTCTCCTGAGTTGTTAATTTTAGTCATTCTGACAGGTGTGAGGCGGTATCTCATTGTGATTTTGATTTGTGTTTCCCTGATGATGAGTGATGTTGAGCATTTTTCATGTGTCTGTTAGCCATTTGTAGGTCTTCTTTGGAGAAATGTCTATTCATGACTTCTGCCCATTTCTTAACTGAATTATTTGTTTTGGGGGTGTTGAGTTTGGTAATTTGTTTATAGGTTTTGGATACTAACCCTTTATCAGATTTGCAAATATCTTCTCCCATTCTGTGGATTGCCTTTTAGTTTTGTTGATTATTTCCTTTGCTGTGCAGAGGCTTTTTATCTTGAGGAAGTCCCAAGAGCTCATTTTTGCATTTGTTTCCCTTGCCCCCGGAGATGTGTCTAGTTAAAAGTTGCTATAGCCAAGGTCAAAGAGGTTGCTGCATGTGTTCTCTAGGATTTTGATGGTTTCCTCCTCTCACATTTAGGTCTTTCATCCATTTTGAGTTTATTTTTTGTGTATTGTGTAAGAAGTGGTGCAGTTTCATTCTTCTGCATGTCGCTGTCCAGTTTTCCCAACACTGTTTGTTGAAGAGACTTTTTTCCATTAGATATTCTGTCCCACTTTATCAAAGATTAGCTGACAACATAGTTGTGGGTCCATTTCTGGGTTCCCTTTTCTGTTCCATTGGTCTATGTGTCTGTTTTTGTGCCAGTACCATTGTGTCTTGATGATTACATCTTTGTAATACAGTTTGAAGTCCAGAATTGTGATGCCTCCAGCTTTCGTTTTCTTTTTCAACGTTACTTTGGCTATTCGGGATCTTTTGTGGTACCATACAAATTTTAGGATTGTGTGTTCTAGCTCTGAGAAGAATGCTGGTTCTATTTTGATCGGGATTGCGTTGAAGGTGTAGATTGCCTTGGGTGCTATCAACATTTTAACAATATTTGTTTTTCCAGTCCCTGAGCACGGGATGTTTTTCCATTTCTTTGTGTCTTCAATTTCTTTCATAAGTGTTGTAAACTTTGCAGAGTACATATCTTCTACCTCTTTGGTTAGGTTTATTCCTAGGTATCTTATGGTTTTTGGTGCAGTTGTAAATGGGATTGATTCCTTGATTTCTCCTGCTGCTGCTTCATTATTGGTGTATAGAAATGCAACAGATTTCTGTACATTGATTTTATATCCTTGCAACCTTGCTGAATTAGTTCTAGCAGTGAAGTTCTTGGTGAAGTCTTTCAGGTTTTCCACATAGAGTATCCTGTCATCTGTGAAGAGTGAAAGTTTGACTTCTTCCTTGACAATTTGGATGCCTTTTATTTCTTTTTGTTGTCTGATTGCTGAGGCTAGGACTTCCAGTGCTATGTTGAACAACAGTGGTGAGAGTGGACGTCCTGTTGTGTTCCTGAACTTAGGGGAAAAGCTCTCAGTTTTTCCCCATTGAGGATGATACGGGTCTGTTGTATATGGCCTTTTATGATGTTGAGGTATGTTCCTTCTGTCCCAGTTTTCTTGAGGGTTTTTATCAAGAATGGATGCTCTATTTTGTCAGATGATTTTTCCGCATTTATCGAGAGGATCATGTGGTTCTTATCCTCTCTTTTATTAAGGTGTGTATCACGTTAATTGATTCGCAGACACTGAACCACCCCTGCAGCCCGGGAATAAATCTCACTTGATTGTGGTGGATAATCCTTTTAATGTACTGTTGGATTTGTTAGGATCTCGTTGAGAATTTTTGCATCCATGTTCATCAGGGAATTGGTCTGTAATTCTCCTTTTTAGTGGGGTCTTTGTCTGGTTTTGGAATGAAGGTAATGCTAGCCTTATAGAAGGAGTTTGAAGTTTTCCTTCCATTTCTATTTTTTGGAACAGTTTCAGAACAGTAAGTATTAATTCTTCTTTAAATATTGGGTAGAATTTCCCTGGGAAGCCATCTGGCCCTGGACTCTTGTTTTTTGGGAGATCTTGTATTTCTGATTCAGTTTCTTTGCTGGTTATGAGTCTATTCAAATTTTCTATTTCTTCCTGTTTCAGTTTTGGTCATTTATATGTTTCTAGGAACTTATCCATTTCTTCTAGATTGCCAAATTTGTTGGCATGTAATTGCTTATAATATTCTTTTATAATTGTATTTCCGTGGTGTTGGTTGTGTTCTCTTTCATTTGTGATTTTATTTGTTTGGGTCCTCTTTTATTTTTGATAAATTTGGCTAGGGGGGTTATCAGTTTTTTTAATTCTTTCCAAGTACCAGCTCCCAGTTTCATTGATCAATTTGTTCTACTGGTTTTTTGGTTTCTGTATCATTTGTCTCTGCTCTCATCTTTACTTGCTGTCCTTTTTCCAGTTCTTTTAGGTGTAAGGTTAGGTTGTGTATTTGACACTTTTGCTTCTTGAGGAAGGGCCTGTATTACAATATATATTACTTCTTATGACCACCTTTGCTGCATCCCAAAGGTTTTGGACTGTCGTGTTTTCATTTTCATTTGCTTCCATTTATTTTTTTAATTTCTTCTTTAATTTCCTGGTTAATCCATTCATTCTTTAGTAAGATGTTCTTTAACCTGCATGTATTTGAGGGCTTCCCCAATTTTTTCTTATGGTTGACCTCAAGTTTCATAGTGCTGTGGTCTAAAAACATGCATGGTAAGGACCTCAGTCTTTCTGTACTGGTTCGGGCATGATTTGTGACCCACCATGTGATCTCTTCTGGAGAATGTTCCATGTGCACTCGAAAAGAGTGTGTATTCTGTTGCTTTAGGATGAAATGCTCTGATTATATCTGTTAAGTCCATCTGGTCCAGTGTATCATTCAAAGCCTGTTTCCCTATTGATCTTCTGCTTAGATGATCTGCCCATTACTGCAAGTGGGGTGTTAAAGTCTCCTACTTTTCTTGTGTTGTTATCAGCAAGCTTCTTTAAGTTTGTTATTAATTGATCTGTACATTTGATTGCTTTCAAGATAGGGGCATAAATATTTAGTAGTTAGATCTTCTTGTTGGACAGCCTCCTTTATTATGATCTGGTGCCTTTCTTCATCTCTTATGATAGTCTTTGACTTGAAATCTAGTTTGCCTAAGTATGGCTACTGCAGCTTCCTCTTGATGTCCGTTAGCATGAGAAATGGTTCTCCACCCCTCACTTTCAATCTGGAGGTGTCTGTGGGTGTAAAATGAGTCTTTTGTGAGTCAGCATATTCATGGGTCTTGTTTTTGTGACCGTTCTGATACCCTGTGTCTTTTGATTGGAACATTTTAGTCCGTTTACGTTCAGAATAATTATCAATAGATAGGAATTTAGTGCCATTGTATTACCTGTGAAGTTTCTGATTCTGTGGATTGCCTCTGTTCTTTTCTAGTCTTGGTTGCTTTTGGTCTCTCTTTCCCTGTCTAAGGGTCCCCTTTAGTAATTCTTGCAGAGCTGGTTTAGTGTTCACAAACTCCTTTAGTTTTTGCTTTTCTTGGAGGCTCTTTATCTCTCCTTCTATTCTGAATGACAGCCTTGCTGGATAAAGGATTCTTGGCTGCATATTTTTCCCATTTAGCACATTGACTATTTCCTGCCACTCCCTTCTGGCCTGTCAGGTTTCTGTGGACAGGTCTGCTAACCTTATGTGTCTGCTCTTGTAGGTTAAGGACGTTGTGTTCCTAACTGCTTTCAGAATTCTCTCTTTATCTTTGTGTTTTGCAAGTGTTACTGTGGTATGTCTTGATGTTGACCTGTTTTTTGCTGATTTTTTTTTTTTTAACGTTTATTCATCTTTGAGAGACAGAGAGAGAGACAGAGCAGGGAAGGGGTAGAGAGAGGGAGACACAGAATCCAAAGCAGACTCCAGGCTCTGAGCTGTCAGCACAGAGCCCAACGCGGAGCTTGAACTCAAAAACTGCGAGATCATGACCTGAGCCCAAGTCGGACGCTCAACCGACTGAGCCACCCAGGTGCTCTGAGTTTTTTTGCTGATTTTTGAGGGGAGCTCTCTGTGCCTCTTGGACTTGAATGCCTGTTTCCTTCCTCAGATTAGGGAAGTTTTCAGCTATAATTTGTTCAAATAAACCTTCTGTCCCTTTTTCCTGCTCTTCTTCTGGAACTCCTATGATATGGATATTATTGCACTTTATGGAT